CAACAAGACTTAGTCCTTGTACGTGTGGGCCAGCTCCGGAGCCAGCAGCTGGAGGCTGGGGGAGGACTCTCCCACTACGGGCAGCCCAAACCCTCTGCCTGAGAAAGACTGTTCTCAGATCTCTTTCTTCTAAGAGCATTTTCTCCCCAGGCCAAGAAGAGAAATGGGAGATGTATAAGGTCACTTAGGGGACAAACTGAGTTGATGCAGAGGCAGCAATAAGGCAGTCTTGTATATTCTGCCTTTCTGGAGTTTATTTAAAATATAATGCTCAGGCTTAGGCTGGCCTGTTACTGTCTGTTGTACAATGGGTTCCAGACAAATATAAAATTTATTATCACATGTGAACCCCTCCCAAAAGTTAACTGTGCAAATAGAAGACAATAGTGTCACAGTATATTTTGATCTACTTTCCAAATACTCTTTCTGAAGTCTCTAGGAACCGGATCTGCACATCAAACAATTCCGCAGGGATAACCAAGTCTGCGAGTGCATGACTGTGGCCCCCCTGCAGGTGCCTACAAGGATATTCACCATTCCCTCAACACCTGACGAGTCTCTGACTGTACTTTTACTCTACCTCAGTCTCTTGCCAACTTCAGACTACAGGGCTCTTGTGCAATCAGCATGATTTCCAATCCCACCTCACCACCCACACCCACTTCCCTCCCAATACCAGTGAGCTAAGAACCTGACATAGGGTGATGGCGCAAATGGGGGTTACTCTAGGTGACAAAGAGCAAAGGGTAAGGAGCAAGCGGAACTGAGTCAGCAAGAAGAAAGGAAATACCCGCCAGAGGCCTACACAGAGGATGAAGAGCCTGTGCAAGAAGGCGTCCTGCAAGCAGCCCAGTACAGCACATCCTAGTCCTAAGATAAAAACCAGGCAAGCATGAACCTTCTACAGACTTCTATTTGGACTTACCCTCAAGAATTCTGACAGTAACTCACATTTACAGGGTCAAGGATCTTTGCAAATATTTGTAGACACTTGCTGCAAATATTTAAGGTATAATAACCATTATCATTCTGAAGTCAGACATCTGGACACTGGATGGCCCTCTCTAAGTTCACATCCTAAATGCTCTGGCATCTACTAGCTGTAACAAACTATCTATGTTTGCCTAGCCTCATTTTCTCCATTTAAAACATGGAGATCATCAAGCATACTTTGCAGGGTGGTTGTAAAAATTAGGGAGAATTGACATAAAGTGTATCTGTCAAAGGCCTGCACACAACAATGTTCTACAAATGAGGTTACAGTTGATATGTAATCAAAATATGGTTGCAGTTGATATGAAATCAAAAACTGAAATTGATTAGGTTGATGGTATAGTTTTAAATTACAAGTATAAAGTGAAATGAACCCACATTTACTACACAGTTGACACTATCATGATCTAGGTCTCCAACAGAGAAAAATGAGATAAATTCCGACAAAACCTAGCACTGCTCCTCCAGCTCTGTTCTGTAAACTCAATCACCATTTTCATCCTGTCCACAACTGCCATTTCTGCACCCACCAAAGAGCACCTCTGTCCTCTTGGGCAAAATGGGAAATTCTGCCATTTTCCTTTTTAATGGAGGCCTGATATCTGCAGACTGCCCATATAATCCCACTGGACCACTAGCCATATTCCAAAGCATACCTTAGAACTTTGTGAAATACATCTACCTCTGTAAAGTAAGTCTACCTGCTTAAGAAGTTTATCTTTGACAATTTAGTTCCTAGGGGGTTAACATGACACCAAAATTTTCTAAAAACTAAATTATCTTTTGCAGTCAAAAAATATATATCTAAGCAAGCTGTTTGCTTCCCTGAAATATAACTCTGAATAAAAAGAGAGGGAGCTGCTTCTGAAATCCAATATTCAAGTGAAACAGAAAAGATTCTCATACAAAGTATAGAAGATGTATGGGAAGGTATGGGAAACAGCTCACAGAGTTTCTGAGCTGACTAACAAGGGATATGAATTAATCCCTCACTAACATCAACTTCGAAAAGATGAATATGTGTTAAAAATGTTGTGACTTGGAAGTAATTTTGTTCATAACAAGACTCTGCAAACTTTTAAACCAACCAATCATACAGCTTCTAAATTAATTTTATAGTTTGTTTATTTCAAGTGTCATAGAAAAACTGTTACACATTTTAGTTATGCACAAATACCGATGGAATTTTCCTTCGTGAATACATTTTACACTGGGGTCATATTTCAAGCCACCTTAGCTAAACTAAAAGTCAAACAAAAACAAGGAAATAAACTCACTTGTCAAGCTCATCAAATAGATCACAACTCTGCAGTTTTGAAAGAGTAAGTCGAAAATACTCCGCTAGAAAATAAATGGACTATTATGAATAAAAGCAATCATGGCTTCTTAGGTACAGAGTAAGACACCTCACCCCATTCCCTCCCCAAAACTCATTCCAAACAGGTAAGGCCACATTTGATTTACTGTGTGGTGAAAATTAATGATCCAACTGCAATTAGCCAGCACTATTCAATTGGCATACTCAAAATGGTAAATGCCCTAAGGACACTTCCCAACAATACCAGAAAAATAAGATACTTAATCTGAAGATAATCATACAAAAGTAACCCAAAGATTAGCAATATTAGATGATTCTTTAAACTGACAGTATAAAAAATATTCAGCAAGTTCAAACCTATTAAAGTATCAAATTCTCTGAATATATTTTTAAAATACACACACACACACACACACACACACACACACATAGTCCTTGTACGTGTGGGCCAGCTCCGGAGCCAGCAGCTGGAGGCTGGGGGAGGACTCTCCCACTACGGGCAGCCCAAACCCTCTGCCTGAGAAAGACTGTTCTCAGATCTCTTTCTTCTAAGAGCATTTTCTCCCCAGGCCAAGATGAGAAATGGGAGATGTATAAGGTCACTTAGGGGACAAACTGAGTTGATGCAGAGGCAGCAATAAGGCAGTCTTGTATATTCTGCCTTTCTGGAGTTTATTTAAAATATAATGCTCAGGCTTAGGCTGGCCTGTTACTGTCTGTTGTACAATGGGTTCCAGACAAATATAAAATTTATTATCACATGTGAACCCCTCCCAAAAGTTAACTGTGCAAATAGAAGACAATAGTGTCACAGTATATTTTGATCTACTTTCCAAATACTCTTTCTGAAGTCTCTAGGAACCGGATCTGCACATCAAACAATTCCGCAGGGATAACCAAGTCTGCGAGTGCATGACTGTGGCCCCCCTGCAGGTGCCTACAAGGATATTCACCATTCCCTCAACACCTGACGAGTCTCTGACTGTACTTTTACTCTACCTCAGTCTCTTGCCAACTTCAGACTACAGGGCTCTTGTGCAATCAGCATGATTTCCAATCCCACCTCACCACCCACACCCACTTCCCTCCCAATACCAGTGAGCTAAGAACCTGACATAGGGTGATGGCGCAAATGGGGGTTACTCTAGGTGACAAAGAGCAAAGGGTAAGGAGCAAGCGGAACTGAGTCAGCAAGAAGAAAGGAAATACCCGCCAGAGGCCTACACAGAGGATGAAGAGCCTGTGCAAGAAGGCGTCCTGCAAGCAGCCCAGTACAGTACATCCTAGTCCTAAGATAAAAACCAGGCAAGCATGAACCTTCTACAGACTTCTATTTGGACTTACCCTCAAGAATTCTGACAGTAACTCACATTTACAGGGTCAAGGATCTTTGCAAATATTTGTAGACACTTGCTGCAAATATTTAAGGTATAATAACCATTATCATTCTGAAGTCAGACATCTGGACACTGGATGGCCCTCTCTAAGTTCACATCCTAAATGCTCTGGCATCTACTAGCTGTAACAAACTATCTATGTTTGCCTAGCCTCATTTTCTCCATTTAAAACATGGAGATCATCAAGCATACTTTGCAGGGTGGTTGTAAAAATTAGGGAGAATTGACATAAAGTGTATCTGTCAAAGGCCTGCACACAACAATGTTCTACAAATGAGGTTACAGTTGATATGTAATCAAAATATGGTTGCAGTTGATATGAAATCAAAAACTGAAATTGATTAGGTTGATGGTATAGTTTTAAATTACAAGTATAAAGTGAAATGAACCCACATTTACTACACAGTTGACACTATCATGATCTAGGTCTCCAACAGAGAAAAATGAGATAAATTCCGACAAAACCTAGCACTGCTCCTCCAGCTCTGTTCTGTAAACTCAATCACCATTTTCATCCTGTCCACAACTGCCATTTCTGCACCCACCAAAGAGCACCTCTGTCCTCTTGGGCAAAATGGGAAATTCTGCCATTTTCCTTTTTAATGGAGGCCTGATATCTGCAGACTGCCCATATAATCCCACTGGACCACTAGCCATATTCCAAAGCATACCTTAGAACTTTGTGAAATACATCTACCTCTGTAAAGTAAGTCTACCTGCTTAAGAAGTTTATCTTTGACAATTTAGTTCCTAGGGGGTTAACATGACACCAAAATTTTCTAAAAACTAAATTATCTTTTGCAGTCAAAAAATATATATCTAAGCAAGCTGTTTGCTTCCCTGAAATATAACTCTGAATAAAAAGAGAGGGAGCTGCTTCTGAAATCCAATATTCAAGTGAAACAGAAAAGATTCTCATACAAAGTATAGAAGATGTATGGGAAGGTATGGGAAACAGCTCACAGAGTTTCTGAGCTGACTAACAAGGGATATGAATTAATCCCTCACTAACATCAACTTCGAAAAGATGAATATGTGTTAAAAATGTTGTGACTTGGAAGTAATTTTGTTCATAACAAGACTCTGCAAACTTTTAAACCAACCAATCATACAGCTTCTAAATTAATTTTATAGTTTGTTTATTTCAAGTGTCATAGAAAAACTGTTACACATTTTAGTTATGCACAAATACCGATGGAATTTTCCTTCGTGAATACATTTTACACTGGGGTCATATTTCAAGCCACCTTAGCTAAACTAAAAGTCAAACAAAAACAAGGAAATAAACTCACTTGTCAAGCTCATCAAATAGATCACAACTCTGCAGTTTTGAAAGAGTAAGTCGAAAATACTCCGCTAGAAAATAAATGGACTATTATGAATAAAAGCAATCATGGCTTCTTAGGTACAGAGTAAGACACCTCACCCCATTCCCTCCCCAAAACTCATTCCAAACAGGTAAGGCCACATTTGATTTACTGTGTGGTGAAAATTAATGATCCAACTGCAATTAGCCAGCACTATTCAATTGGCATACTCAAAATGGTAAATGCCCTAAGGACACTTCCCAACAATACCAGAAAAATAAGATACTTAATCTGAAGATAATCATACAAAAGTAACCCAAAGATTAGCAATATTAGATGATTCTTTAAACTGACAGTATAAAAAATATTCAGCAAGTTCAAACCTATTAAAGTATCAAATTCTCTGAATATATTTTTAAAATACACACACACACACACACACACACACACACACAGGAGCAGTTGAATAAGCAAAATCTAACTCAGAAAACTGTAGGCATTACTTTCTGAGCTGCTAAGGTCTCTCAAAAATTTAGAAGATAAAGAAGGGTATGGCCAGTTATCAATGAGCAGAGAGAAAACTGTGTCATCATTAGTAGTCAGAGTAATTCTTTCAAAATTTAGCAAAAATAAAACATCCACTGATTAAATAAAAAGACTGATCAAGTAGCCGGAACTTGCTGATGAAATAAAATTAAATTTATGGTGAAGAAGTGAAATTGGGAGATTGGGAGGAAGTTAACCCACAGGGTTATCCTGTGAATTCTAAGTTAGAATAAAGTTAAGGCATCAGACCCTGTGAATAATACAGTGGCATAAACGTAAAAAGCAGTTTTTCAACAACAAAGAAATCTCCTTTTTTATTCTTTTACTCTACACTGCCTCAAAAGAAGTGAGGATTTATATATTAAAATTCAATTTCCTTCATCCCACCTCCAAATCATATCCTTAAGGAATCATTATGAAGCAGAAAGATTAAAAAGCCAAAAAACTATATAAACATGTCACTCACATCAAACATCACTCGTATTTAATAGGGCTGAGCAAGAATAATATCACTGACCTGATGTCTTTATCCCATAGGGCAAATCAAACTTATCACTACCATACAAGGAAGCAATCTTTTTAAAATCAGCTGCACACAGAAAAGGGTGAAACTGATGAAACCTGCAAGAAAAGGATAAAGAATGATTTTCCCAAATGCCTACAGTATTTGCAGGATTTTAAAATCACAACTGAAAATAACTGTAGTATAGCATTCATATTGTTATATTGACTACATATGAATGTATAATTATTTTTTAAAGTCTGTAAAAAATAACCTGAAACACTATTTAGATATTACATAGAATGGGATATGCAATGGAACTACACAACCAGGAATGGAAACACTTTCCAGAGAGTGGAACCAAAATTAGGTAGCAGCTTCTGGAGGTGAGGGAAGATGGGACAGAACTTAAAAAGAAACCAACACCAAGTGACAAACTGTTGGCCATATTCAGGAAGAACAATGGAAGAAATAGGAGAAAATAAGAGTATTGATGCAAAGCCTCTCCCAAGTTAAAAAGTACCATATGTGTAAAGTTGTGTAGCTGTGAAAATGTAAATTGATTAAAAGTTAGATGCAGCTAGAACTGTGTTTCCTGATGTCATTGAGATTTATTCACGAACAAGAACTATGAGCACTTGTCTTCTTACTGCCTGCTCTGTCCTTAAGGTCATTCCCTGTGCCACTCAGGTACTCGCTTAGACAAGAAAAAGATGAGGAAGGTAGGATGAAACTCTGTTTTTCTCAATTTTAGTGCCTGGAACAGAGTAGACAAGCAAAATATGTTTAATAAATGATCGAATGAATTTCACCTCTAAATGAATTCTTTATGGGACCATTATTAAGTAGAAAAAAATAAAAGGTTTTTTAATTAAAGAGAAGGAATAGGTGTTAAAACTCATAGTAAAATGCTATTTTCACCTACCAGGAGGATGCTACAGAGCAAAGCAAGCTAATCCTTACCCTGAGGCCCTCACACGTGAGTCCACTTCTCCTGCCATGTCAGCTTTGCCCTTTCTTAGTCTGAAAACTGAAGGCAGAGATCAGAGAGGCCCTGGGTGTTAGAGGCTATGTGACAAAATGGAAATAAACAACAGTAGAGTAGTGGTGAAACAGTTTCAGTTGTATCCTGGCTTTGCCACTCAGCAGCCGAGCCTTGAGTAAAGCACAGAGGCTTAAATTAAAGTCTTCAGAGCTGAGCTAAGAATTCACACCCTGTTCGGATGAGGAAACAGGTGGAAGACTAGCCCTTCCTGTTTGTGACTCGATGTGTGTCCCAGATTCAGTTGTGACAGTGACAGCAGCCTCTGGGGTCCAGACCACCTGGCAAGGTTCTTTTCTGCCTCAGGGTTGATCCCCAAGTTCAGTATCTGCCCTGGGAAGAGGAAGTGTTAAGCCACCTGATTTAAGATTAAGAGGAGACTCAAGATCTTCCCAGTCTTCCTGGGGAAACTGAACCATAGATGACTTCCCACCTTGAAATCAAGGCAACAAAGGACTCTATTCTTTGGAGTTGGTGGGGGTGACAATGAAGGTGACTAATGACTAATGTCTATTTATGTCAGTCAGACCTTATGCTAGGTGACTTATATTTTATTTCTAAAATGAAATAATTGTTTTGCATCATGTCTCATATATAGTAGGAGCTCAGTATCGGCCTTATCTGTAATAATTATACACTGTACTACATACCATTATAATGTATCATATTATACTACATGTCTGTTGTTACTCTGACCAAAGCCTGAAAAGGAAGGAAAAGTCCACTCATTTAGAAGTAACTAAGCTATGAAAAGTGAAGTAACTACGTGATATGATTGGGGGGTCACTAGCCCCTATCTGACAAAGCTGAAACCACACCCACGCCTAATTCTCAGGAAAGTGTCCCCTTTACAGCACTGCAGGTCACACCTCCAGGCCTCCCTGTGGACCTTCTGACTGGCACTGGCAGAGGAGACAGCATTGCCCCCAGAGAATACTAGCCACATGACAAATGAGAATCTAACCTGTCACTTGCACTCTACACTTAGACACCTGCTGAGTAATCTTGTATAAATACTTTAACCCTTTTGGATTTTCTCAGGAAGGAAATACCTTTTTTCTCTTCTCAAGTCAGAGTACCTTTATTCTAAAGTAACATCTTAAACAGGCAATCCACAACCCGTAGGTGGCTCATGAAGTCATTTTTGTGAGTAATGATCAGCATGATTTTTAAAAATGAAAAGAATAGAATACAGTTTTCCAAAGCAAAATGTATTTCTTACTATGGGTCATGGTCAAAAAAGTTTAAAACCACCATTCTCATTCTGCTGTGACCCTAAGCAGACACACATCCCTGGAGAGACTCAAGCAGCCACGGTATTTATATACAGAAATATTGTATGTATCTGCAGTTTTTCAGAGAGCTGGTTGACTTTAAAGGGTTCTGTAGTCTTGAAAGGTTAAAAGGGAGTAATGGGAAGGTGCAATAATATAAGAAAAGAAAATGTGAATTTTTTATCCTTAATGGACAAAATGCTGAAAAGCTTATACCTGTTTTACATAATTAAACATGCTCAGACCAGACCACCATTTACTTGTATTTATCTAGAAGCATTTTGACCAGCAATCTGTCAAAGCTAAGCTGACAGAAGAGAATACTTGTGGATGAAATAGTAAATTTTCTACAAGTCCCAACAACGAGAGTGAACAGTCATTGTTTACATTCTGTCGTTCATTACAAACCAGTGACAGGAAAAAATTTCTGACTGAAGTTGAACCTAGAGGCAGGGGAGAAGAAGCCACAAAATAACAAGGGTGAAAAAGAACATGAGAACAAGGGGAAAGATAAAGCCCTAAAGAACAGTCCAATTTTTTATGATCACATGCAAACAGACCTCTTTAATCTCACCTGAGTGAAAAGAATATTGGGCAGACTGAGTTCTTCAATGCCTTTTCTGAAAATATATGTGGCTTAGTTCTAACTGAAACCACAAGAAGAGACATGATATTCAACGTCTTCCTTAAATACAGAGTGTCCGCTTTATACTGGTATGATTTGTATGAAAAAAGTAAACACGTGTGGAAAACATTTACAAACACATTTTGAACATTTTGTATGTCACAGTTGCTGTTCTATTTTTACCTCAGGAGTGAGGCAAAAGCTGGCTTTGATAAACAAGTCTGGATCTTATTTTTTCGTTTCATTTCCACAGGTGGCACCCTATGAGACAAAAACAGTATCAGTCAGAAACCAGAACCAGGCAGCCTGCCCAAAGGGAAGCAAATGCTCGAGGAACCCATTCAGTGCCACCACTGGGAAGCTTCTCAGACAGAAAACGAAAATTGACTTTAAAGGTCACAGCACCCTCTGAGGTATGATAGCTCCTTTTCTAAGTCCTGCACACATTCGAGCATTCACGGATGCAAGGCAAAAGAGTGGAAAACGCTGAGGTGACAAGCATCCCAGAAGTGGTTCATTGAGCAGAAAACGGAGGACCCCTCAGAAAGGGCTAGGATTACCACACTGCAGAAGCTGCAACCAGTCTGGCTCTTCAGAAGTCCCCGCAAGCCTGGGAAACCCAACTCACCCTACAGCACATGGCTTACTAGCCCCTGGGGACACCTACCACAGAAACAGTGACCTGCAGTTTCCACAGACCTGCCCTGCAATGGGGAGACTCCACAAATCACACTATTGCAAGTCGCATCTAACTCTCCTCTACTCTTGGCACGGGTTGGGCCCTCGTGGGCCTCCTGAATGGAGCACTTGTCTCCACAGTTTAAAAGGGTATTGTGAACCAAGGCAGAGCACAACAAAAACAAATTAAGGGGACAGGGTGACGGGATCCAGACTGAGCCAGGAAAGGGGAAAACTGCTTAATATAACAGCACATTAATGATCATCAGTTGTGTGAAGAATAATCTAGAAAGAAAACCAATCAATTTTTTTTTCTAAAATCACAGGATTCAAATGAAAAGAGATAATGTAAACCCTGCATGGATAGACTCAAATTTCAATTTTTTTTGGTGCAAAATCCCAATAGTTAGGACTGCTAGCTTTCTGACTATGAGGCTAATAAAGTCCTCATGCAGAAAAACATCTTCTGTGAGTATCACAAATGGCAAGAATCCTTTAGTTTACATCTAAGGAAAATACATAAATATGGTGGACTAGCACATCAGGCCATAAAAGTCAAATTCTAATTGGAGGACAAAATAAAGAGTAAACTATTACCGGGTTTCTAAGACTATTAAAACAGTACATGAACTATTTTAGGATATGTGAAGACAAACTTTGGGTGGCTGTGAAGAACACAATTACCTGTCTTAAATAAATTTTAAGGAAGCAAGTTCACAGCACAAACACCTATGTGAGGTAACTCCCCGCAGTGCTTCCTGTGACCAGAATGATGTGTTAGCACAGGAGTGACATGAACATTTCTTAAATCTTGATGACAAAAGACTGTGCCGAATTCAGAGCCTTTTCATCATCGTATCATTTCCCCTCTGACCAACAATAGGATTTGTAAGGAAATAGCAATCTAGTAAACTTCTTGCTTTCTTCTCCTGTTCTTCTCTTCCTGTATGGCAGAGATGGAGGGAGAGATCCCTGTGGTATAATCCTCATATAGTATATAATCAGAGTCATAAGTTCTCTAGCTCATATTTAAGTCTAAAACCTAAAACCTGAAACCTTAGGGCCAAATCTACCCACCTGGCTTTGGATTTTTCCAGTGGCCAATTGCCTAATTTCCTTCCATTAAGAGGATGACAATGATTTTCAATCAACCAGTGATGAAATTAAATGCAGAAACAATTTTTTTAATCTAGTTAGAAACATGATTTAGGATCTACTTGGCAAAAATTACTGAACCTTTGCTAAGACTGGAAGTTGTAATATGATTTTGGTATCATATACTACTATCCATTCAGGATTTAAAGGTCATCAAAACTTATTTCTAGCCAAAAGACTGACAATAGGGAGAAAAATTAAAAACATATTTAGAAGTTTTCTCCACAATAATACTACCTGTGACATCTCAATTCAAAGTTGTTTCAAAATTTACATATATCACCATTCACAAATATTTTCAAACAAAGAAACCATATGTAGTGTTGGTAGTTTATCAACAATCTCTTATCCAAGAATTTTTGGCTCTAAAGTCAGTACAAGTTAGTCTGAGAAATCACTCCATCAATTTGAGGAGATAAACTATTTTTATATAAAAAATGTGATGTTTCAAAGATGATCCACTTCACTGCTTCACTGAACTCAATAACAAGATGTTGCTTACCAGTTTCTAAACTGTTAGAGGTATAATGTCTAGGATACCAGAATGGTGAAATCCCAATTTATAATGGAAAATTGGAAAAGGTTCAAAATGTTACAGGTTTGGTTTTGTTTTTGATAGGACCCTCTAATATCATTTGCATGTCTGTACTGAAAATCTGAGAGTTATTTTTAAATAGCAAAATGAAACTTACCAATAGACATTTGTTCCCCATAGTATACAGTGCAGCACATAGTAGAGGAAGACGGCACTCAGGAATATGGCCACAAGGTAGCCTCTCATGGCTGGCCCACCTGAAGCACAAGGAACAAGTCCAAAGAAAAAGCAAGACTGTTAAGCAGATGGATTTTCACAATGGCGCAAATATAAGCATTTGTGAATGAACATACAGAAAGAGAAGAGTAGAAGAACAGTTTAGGCCTATTATGTGGGAAACACCCAGTAAACTTGCAGAAAGGGAATATTCTTTTCTGTCTTTCCTCATCCTCTGATCTTCAATTAACACAACACAACACATGTTTAGACAAGTAAACAATGCCGTGGTATCAAATCTAACGGCTTCCATTCTACTTCCTCATGTCAGACAAGAAAGACAAAATTTCACTCAGAACAAAATTTTACAGATCTACTCTCTATCTACAACTTTCTTACACAAACCTTAAAAATATCTATTCTCTTAAAAGAAAGTCAATAAAGTCAATATACGCCTTAAGATGTAATAAACACTTCATTTGTTCAGTGCTCAGAATGACTTTCAAATGCTGTATGTTATAATTTTTACAAGTCCTTTTTCTAATTTTAAAAAAATGAGAAAAATCAGATTCAAAAAGACATTATGAACCCCTATGTTTATTGCAGCACTATTTACAATAGTGAAGATATGAAAGCAACCTAAGGGTCCATCAGTAGCTGAATGGATAAAGAATATGTGGTACATATACATAATGGAATACTATTCAGCCATAAGAAAGAAACAGATCCTACCATTTGCAACTACATGGATGGAGCTAGAGGATATTATGCTCAGTGAAATAAGCCAGGCAGAGAAAGACAAGTGCCAAATGATTTCACTCATTTGTGGAGTATAACAAGGAAGCAAAACTGAAGAACAAAACAGCAGCAGACTCACAGACTCCAAGAAGGGACTAGCGGTTACCAAAGGGGAGGGGTGTGGGAGGGCAGGTGGCGAGGGAGGATAGAAGGGGATTGAGGGGTACTATGTTTAGTACACATGGTGTGAGGGTCATGGGGAAGACAGTGTAGCACAAAGAAGGCAAATAGTGAGTCTGTGGCATCTTACTACACTGATGGACAGTGACTGCAATGGGGTGTGGGGGGGGGACTTGATAATAAGGGCGAATGTAGTAACCACATTGTTTTATCATGTGAAACCTCCATAAGAGTATATATCAATAATACCTTAATTTAAAAAACTGAGTAAAAGCTGCTAAAAAAAATCTTTCCCACATTCTCAATTTTTATATACTTTTAGATGTACCATTTTGATTTTTCAATATCAAAGCCAAATGAATCTAGCTAATTACTTGCTTTTTGTTATTAGCTTAGTTCATTGCACATTTGTAGACAGACAAACAGCTGGACACAATTCTCTCTAGAATTTAAATGCAAAAAAAATCTTTATAAGTAAAAATTTTTATTTTTAAAAAACCTAAAACATGTGTTTTTAGTCCCCACTTATGCATCATAGAAATAAGTTCTCATGTCCACATCTAATTAAATGCAAAAGACACATTTAATTCATATATGTTTCTATAATAGATCTTATTTTCAGTGCATGGGACTTCAAACAGGTGTACTATTTCTTTGCATTTTTGCAATGAACTTCGCAAAAACTTTGTCTTCCAATTTTCCGGTTCACCTAGACCATTGCATGGCTCAGTTTCTCTCACTCCTGTCATGTCTGTTAACCTCTACAGGGGCAATGCAGTGTCAAATATGAGTCAGTGTCAAACATGAGTCCAGTCAGATACATTTCTAAATACCATAATGCTGCCTCCCTTTTAATGGTAAAATAAGTTCGAATGAAAATCTTAAAGCACTCCTTTGCTTTCATAAGTAGAATATACTAAACATCATTTAAGCTGTTCTTGATAATGTGGGGTCATTTAACAAATGTCATAATTGTGCTGGGCTCTATTTTTTTAAGATCTCTAGAGCTAATGAGGCTATGGGGCTGTTTGCTAAGCAGTCCTGAATTGTAGGGATTATTCCGTGGAGATTGCTGGTCTCTCCTCCCTTGCTGTCAGCTGTTACTTCTTATTCCGACCTGAGTATCTTTACATGTTTACAAGAGCGAGCACACAACCTACTTCTTTGGGTTATTAGAGAGATTAACCAAAAAGATGGTGTCTGGCACAATTTATGACACAAAATAGTGAATAAGCTTGTTTGTTTGTTTTCTAAAACTAAAGTCAGTTGCACTCTTTTTCTACATACAACATGCAGGAGTTTTGAGAAATGTCAAAGTGAGATGACCTATCCTTAATGGAGCCTGTACCAAATTCTTAGGGCCTGACCGGAAGAGATGATCGGGGGTGGTGTTGGCAGAAAGCCCAGCGCCCTTCACTAGCAAAGGGAATAAAGCACATAAGGGACATGCAGACCCCTTGCATCACCTCAGGGCTGTGTCTCCCTCCACTTCGTTCTGTCTTCTTCCCCCATTTTAATGTGTGCTATCTTGGTTATTTGTGGGTTACTTTAAAAATCACCTTCAGTACTTCTTGGTAAAAAGCAAGATAAAAATTACATAATTATTAGTGGGTAAAAAAATAGTATAATTCTTGAGAAATAATTGTATCTTGAGAAATAATTGGTAAAACCTAAGTGATGGAGAGAATTAAGGTTTGGGATTATCAGAATAAAAGTCTAAGATGGTGGGTGAGGTGTTTCGGATGTTAGATGCATCACTATAGGGGGGTCACTGAAGAATCAAAGACAGGCTAACTGTCCCAGCACCTGGCCCTTATGATGTGTTTAGAAAATGTTAGCTTCCCTTCCTTCTCTCAAACTGGGTGAATTGGAAGGGTCAAGGGCCTGGGCTCTAGCTGGGTTCTAAAAGGCAAATCATCATATATGTGAGAGAGGTGACAGTGTTAGCCACTCTGGGCAAAGCCATGTGCCACGCTGCATGATGACAAGATACAGGCCCATCAGTGCTGCAGGCAGCTGATGGAGACTTGGCTTTGTCTCATCCCTTTAACTAAACTGCCCTCAGCAAAATGGTTTTCTTTCATGCAGGTATCCCCCAATATGATAGTGGATAAAGAAAAAAGACTAAAAAACACAATAGAATTATTTATATGCCCTTTGATTCTTTTAAAAATACATTGTAATTGGGGAGGAGACAAGATGGCGGTGTGAGTAGAGCGGCAAAAATCCCCTCCCAAAACCATATATATTTTTGAAAATTCAACAAATACAACTATTCCTAAAAGAGAGACCAGAAGACACAGGACAACAGCCAGACTACATCCACACCTGCGAGAACCCAGCACCTTGGGAAGAGGGTAAGATACAAGCCACGGCCTGGCAGAACTCAAGCGCTCCCCCCACCTCAGCTCCACGGCAGGAGGAGAGGAGTCAGAGCGGGGAGGGAGAGGGAGCCCAGGACTGCTAAACACCCAGCCCTAGTCATCCGAACTGGAGAGCAGACACACAGTGTGTGGGGTGCTGGGTACTAGGGGCACGGAACAGTAAAACCTGTGAGTGGGTCCCCGCAGTCAGCGCCCCTGGGACAGAAGAAGAGCAAGTGCCTTTTGAAAGTCTTAAAGGGACAGAAGCCTCAAAGCTGGACAGAAGTGTCC